CCGTTTAATAAAAATAATTTTAAATGCTTTAAATGCAATAAAAAATAATGTTTTAACTTACTACACCTTTAAAAATGATCGAGCAACTTGAAAAGGAAGGTAGCACCGTCAAAATAATAAATAATTTTTAATTTTTATTTTAAATAGTCGGAAATGATTATAAAAAATAATATTTTTTTTAATTTTTTTAATCATTAATATATATATATAATGATATAATTACTTAAACTCAAATTAAAAAAACAATATTCATTTATATCACCAAATTGAAAAAACAAATAAAACAATAACCACATTAGACTTTTATAAAACACGATTATTCAAGGATATAATATGAAAACACAAAAGTGTCTGAATTCTGAAAGCAGAAATTCAAACATAAAAATTCAAAAAAGTTAAACATTATACAAATCTAACAAGAAAGTTGTCAGGTGGTCTTAATAATTGTATTTTATGGATACTTTAGAGAAAGACTAAAACATAATATGAAAATATAAAATAAAATACTTATAGTATAAGAGTAAATTTGAAAGATACATTTATACTAAAATTAATAAAATATAAGTCATTAATTTGTTAAAATATATTTATTTTGTAAAAGTCTTTAAAAGTTGAAAAGTATGTTTTCAATTTTTTCTTTTTCTTTTCTTTCTTATTTTTAATCCAAATATTACGTGTCATGTGATATATTATTAGAATATCACGTGACTTTTTATAATTAAAGAACAAAATGAATAACATACTTCATGAAAAAAAATAAAGGTCAAACTTAAATAAAAAAAATAAAGGTCAAACTTAAAAAAAAAATCTTTAAATACCAAAATGATAATGATGTATATTTAAATGAAAAAATATTAAACAACGGTAAAATTATGATAAACGCCCTAATAAATTTAAGAACTACAATAGTTATAAGTAACATCATATTTATAGGTAATTTATTTTTTTTCTATAAAATTCTTTAAGTTTATTTTATCTAAAATTTTATGAATTTTAAATTAAGAGGGCTTTAGCGGGTTTCGCGGGTAGCCCGCGATTATACCCATTAAACCCGCGGGTTTAACGGTCCGGGCTAAAAAGCCCGCAATTTAAACGATCTTCAATTTTTGAGACCCGAAGCCCGCACGGGTCGTGGGTTAAACGGGTAACCCGCGGGCCTTAACACATATACCCAGCTCTACTTTCATGCCATAATTAGTCTCTTTTAATAATTGCTATTTTAATTTTTTTAACAAAAAGACAAATATTTCTTTAATTGACTCCTCACGTTGAGGTAACAAGTCCCAATAAAACTAATATTTTAATGGCCTACGTGGGATTTACTAATTTGAGTCTATTAGAAAACTATATTTAATGGAACTCGTCATGTTGAGGTTACTGGTTCGGTGTGCATTGTAGAAAATATCGTAGTTCCCAAAATAATGTTGATGTTGACTCGATACCCTAAATAATTAGCTCGCATGGGGGTATTTGGGGAAAAACATAGGAGATTTGATTCATAGCCCCAAAACTTCTATTTTTCACTTTATTATTAAAAAACAGCAAGGTGGAAGAAAATATGTAGTTTCTCTTTGCTAATATGATTCATTCATATCAGGATGCAATCAAGCCAAGGTGAGCATAATAAGCTATAGGAAGCTCAAGTTCAGCTAGAAAGTTGAAGTGTGAATTTTGTGTTCATTCAATTTTATGATATGGTCTATAGATTTCTTCTTTCTTCAAGCTCTCTCATTTTAAGTCCATTTTGATCAAAATATATGTGTAACTCCAATTTATTTTTTTAATTTAGGCCCTCAATTCTATGTACTATTCAATTTGATCATTCGGTTGTAACTCTTTGCTAGATCTTTCTTCTCATTAATTCATTGACTTCTTTATAACTCCTATCAATACTTTATCCTCAAAATTCATTCTAAAAAAACATTATAACTATAATTTTATAGGATGTTTAATTTATTAAATCTTATTTATACGGGTAACTATAGTCCCTTTTTATTTTGACATTGTTTTTAATTTTTGTCAATCAGGTCACTCAACTATTTAAATGCATCCAATCAGACCACTTGCCATTAAAAATTAAAGGATGTGTTGACGTGGTATTAGTAAAATTGATATAATTACATATTTGGTCACTCTTACTTATATATTCCATCAATTTGATCCTAATTTTAATAAATTAAAATAAAATTAATCTTCCAATCATATAGTGCCATGTGTCACCATTCAATTTGATAATTAAATTTATTTATTTTAAACCCTCTTGTAAAAAGAGAATTAAAGAACCCAAAGAGGGAGATAATGACATATGTTACCATTCAATTTGATAATTAAATTTATTTTAATTTTATTTATTTTAAATCTTCTGGTAAAAAGAAAATTAAAGAACCCAAAGAGGGGAAGATGGAATTCAAACCAAAGATCCTTGGGAGGGAAGAAGGATGCTCGCCCACTAGGTCAAGCCATTTATTTGGTTCAAAAAGGACTACATATAATATATATCTTATAAGTTTGTGTATATCTTTAACTTAAATTTACATCTTAACGTTAAAAATATATTTTATTCTTATCTTAACGTTAAAAATATATTTTATTCTTATCTTAACTAAAGTAAAAAAAATATATTTGAATCTTAAATTCATATTTTTATTTTTTAAATTTAAATATTAAATTCTTATTTTTAATTTTTAATTCATATTTTTATTTTTTAAATTAAAATATTTAAAATATTTTTGCTTTAGTTAAGATAAGAATAATATGAATTTAAGGTATGAGTTTAAAAAAAATATGAATTTAAAAATTAAAAATAAGAATTTAAAGTTTAAATTTAAAAAATAAAAATATGAATTTAAGACTAAAATATATATTTTTTATTTTAGTTAAAATAAAATAAAAATAAAATATATTTTTAATATTAAGATTTGAATTTAAGTTAAAGATATACACTAAGTTATAAGATATATACTACATGTAGTCCTTTATTAACTAAATAAATTGTTTGGCTTAGTGGTTGAGCGTATTTCTTCATTCCTAGGGATCATTAGTTTGAAAATCATCTCCCTTTTTTTGGGTTATTTAATTTTCTTTTCAACATGTTACCCTCTTGTTGGTATAAAATAAATATATTAAATTAAAATAAATAAAATTAAAATAAGTTTAATTATCAAATTGAATGGTGACTCATGACATCATCTGATTGGAAGATCAATTTTATTTTAATTTATTAAAATTAGGACCAAATTGGTGGAATATATAAGTAAGAGTGATCAAATATGTAATTATATCAATTTTACTAATACCACGTCAACACATCCGTTAATTGTTATTGACAATTGGTTTGATTGGATGCATTTAAATGAAAATGGACTATAGTTAGGTGGTCTTCTATATAGATTCAACTTATCATTTTCGTTCTTATTGTATTTTTGTATCAATTTAACCCTAAAAGTTATTTAATTTCATTATCTTATACCCAAACCCTAAACCCTAAACCCTAAATTCTAGTCATAAACCCTAAATTATAATCCCTCAACCTCTAAATCATAAACCTTAAACTTTAAACACTAACTTAAAACCCTAAACAATAGTAAATATTTTAAACATTGATGTAATTGAGCAACTTCGAATGCTAAATTGATGCAAAATACGATAGGAGAAAATGATAAATCAGGTATACTACAAAGGCAGAAGTAACCTTTAAGCAAAAAAATAAAAATAAATAAATAAATAAAAAGGGTTGGATATACAAGGTGTCAATTTGTAAAGTGTGTTGAGAAAATAGATGGATCAACCGCAATGAAATTGATAAACTCCATCTTCAAATGTCAAATGTATTTGTTTATTTAGAGTCCAATAGTGAAATACAAGAAACCCATTTTATACATTATAATGACACGTGATGATGACAACTCTATTATTTTATTTTCTCAGGACTGGTCTACATTTTCTCAGCATCCCAATCACCCTTTCTTGCCAACATATACTTCTTTGTTTGTTCTTTTAAAATATAAAGAATAAGTTCATAGTCTTTGAACTCTTTTATTAAAACGAAGAGAAATGGGTGGTTTGGCGGGTCAATGAAGAAATAGTATACGTATGGGGATCATAAATCTATCTTCTTCTAAGTAACAAGTTTAACACAAGAAAGCTCAAACTTCTTAAATTGTATAAATTCCAATTAACATTTTGAATAATTTGTTCAAAAAATGATAGAAAAACAAGAGAAAGCTAGTTGTATAAAAAACACACATTACAATAGATAGCCACATCATTATAGTAATTGGTGTCGAAATCAACTTTTGAACATTCAATTGTACATTGAATATCTCAATAAATAATGAAATAATCATGATTTTACGTTGATTCTTTAAAAAATTATAGTTGAGGCGTGATAGAATCCTAAAACCGTACATCAACCTTTGATTGGTAGACCAAAAAGAGAAGTAAATTACATTTAAGTACGACATTGTTGTTGTTTTCTTTAACTCGGTCATGCAGTTTGTGGCAGTGAAATGCGACTCGGCCATGGAAACAAAAACAGCAAACATGCATTCATTAAAAATATTACTTTTGTTTGAAGTGTTTTAATCAGTTTGGGACATTAGACGAAGTTTCAACTAAGTAAATCTCTTTTACTACTAATTTGACTCGTGTAAAGTTACAAGGTTTAATAACCATTGACCACACGTTAACTTATACTATTATGGTAGGTTTAAATATAACTATTTTCGGGTTAAAAGATTACGGATAGTTTAAATATTATAATTTATATTTTAGAAGGGAAAAAATACTCTAATTTATAACTTCAACATGAATTCTTTAAATGGTTACCGGTAAAGCTTTAGTTTGTTTAATTTTGTAAACACCAAGTTGTAGTGCCAGAACCCAGAATATTGCTACTATAGCTTTGTCAACTCTTTTGGATAATGAGTTATCAAATGAAAAACGACTAGGTCCGGAATTAATCTCTATAAATACATTGTTTAATCATTTCAAAACTATCTCTTTGATTTAACAAATAACGGCCAAATGGAGAGAAGCGTATCCAACATCCACCCACCGGTATGTGGAAATCTCATCACTGTTCTCAGTATTGATGGAGGAGGGATTCGAGGAATCATTCCCGGAGTTATCCTTGATAGACTTGAATCCGAACTTCAGGTAATTAACGTATTATATATGCTTGTTGACGTAATTCGATTTTGTCCAGAATTTTATAGTTAATTTCGTATCAAAAACAGATTTTGGACGGTAACGATGTTAGGCTTGCGGATTATTTCGACGTGATCACAGGGACAAGCACCGGTGGTCTCATAACAGCCATGTTATCCGCCCCGAATGAGCACGGCCGGCCTCTATTTGCTGCTAAAGATATAGTGCCGTTTTACCTCAAAAATGGTCCTCAAATTTTCCCACAGCCAAGGTATTTGTGGTATGTCATATGATATGATATAACCACATATATGCAACATCACTATTTTCTTGTATCTTTTTATTTACGATGTTGGATGATGTTGTAGCGGAATACTGGCTTGGGCTTCAAAAATACCAAAGGTTCTAGCGGGACCAAGATACGATGGGAAGTATCTTTACAAGCTTTTGAGAGACTTATTAGGGAACACCAGATTGCATCAAACATTAACCAAAGTCGCCATTCCTGCTTTCGATATCAAGAAACTTCAGCCAACTATCTTCTCCAGCTATCAGGTAGTCCGAAATAATATTATCTCAAATCGAATCGGACTGCATTCGCCGGTCGAACTAGAAACCGGTAATCAGTTCGATCCGATGTGTATATATATATATATATATGGTTAATAGAGCTGAGAGATTTTGGGTATGCAGATTCCGATCAATCCAGCCATCGACGCCCTGTTATCAGACATCTGCATATCCACATCGGCAGCACCAACTTATTTCCCACCTTATTATTTCGAGAACAACGGAAAAGAATTCAACCTCATCGATGGAGGCATCGCAGCAAACAATCCCGTGATTACAAAATAACAAAAACCTTAAAACAGAAATGAAAATCATAACACAAACTGACACAAGTTGTTGTTTGATATCAGACACTGGTGGCCTTACGAGAAGTGACGAAACAGATAATGAAAGACAACCCAGATTTTTCCGGGACAGATCCCACGGATTACACCCGGTTCCTCGTCATCTCGATAGGCACAGGATCCAGCAAGCGTGAAAAGAAATATGATGCTAAAACGGCCTCCAAATGGGGTGTGATAAGCTGGTTATTTGAAGATAACAATAGCCCCATACTTGATTTCTTCGGCGAAGCGAGCAAAGATATGGTTGATTACCATAACTCCGTCGTCTTCCAAGCCCTTCATTCCGAGGAAAATTATCTCCGGATCGACGTAAGCTTTTCATTCTTTTCTTTTTATCTCGAGTTTTGCTCGAACAACTTACTCAAAACTTGACATGTACAGGATGATACCCTAACCGGAGAAATGGCCTCCGTCGATGTATCGACGAAGGAGAACATGGACAACCTCAAAGAAATCGGAGTGAAGTTGCTCGAGAAAACTGTTTCACGGATCGATTTAGACACCGGACTTTTCGAACCAGTCGAAGGTGGTGGCTCCAACGCCGAAGCACTGAAAAGGTATGTATGCATACATGCACCATTCATAAATTAGAGTGTATGGAGTGAAAATGGAATGGATTAATAATATTCATATTAATATTTGTAGGTTTGCAAAACTGCTGTCGGATGAAAAGAAGCTGAGGGGATCCAACTCGCCAACCTCGCAGGACAAGTCTTCTTAGCATCTGTTTTGTAATTAAATTGATTTATGAATCAATTACAGTTTTTTGGATTGCTTCTATTTTCTGAGTGCCACATTTGTTCTCTCTTTATCTTTGGGTGTAGGTATTATGGTCTCTGTTAATTTGTTGAATGAAAATATGAAAGCACTCCCTTAAACATATATTTAAAAATGTTAAATCGATAAATTTGAAATAAATCTTATATTTTAATAATCTCAAATCGTTTGAGTGATTGTATTTATCCTAAAATTTATTTATATAAAGTAATAAACAAATATTTTTATCTCGTCGAGAAACTTATCCTCTAATTATGAAACATGAAACCCTACGTATCGTAACTCTCTTGATAATATGTTGAAATTATATATGTTGAAACCCTACGTATTGTAATTCTTTGCAGTGTGCTATCACCCAGTTAGCTTGGTGTGCGTTTAACTATTTAATTTCCAAGAAAGAAATAATAGGTTGCATGGGAGTGGAGAATGCTAGGTCTCTGTAATTTTCTCTCAGGTGAAAAACGTTATTCGTTCAAGGCTTATTGGAAATAGGTGTTGGGAAATAAACCGAGTAACGAGTAATTTCCCTATAACCTGATTAGTGAGAATGCGAAATAAAAGCGGAAAAATAATACCCGAAATTGATAACGGAGTTCAGCCAATTGTGCTTACGTCTTTGGATTACTGCAGATCTTTTACTAAGAGATAAAATTTACAGGTGTTTACAAAACACTCACTACTCACAAGAAACTCTCTAGTATTGGGAGAAAGAAATGATTTGAGATTTTGGGATGATTTTGAAACTAAATGAGCTAGGGTATTTATAGTTAAAGCTTAAGGGCTAATCTTGTAAATACCCTAAAGTTGAATGACTAAATTTTGTAATTATCCCTATTACAAAATAATAAAAAATTGGGCAGGCCTCCATTTTTCCAAGCAGCCGGCTACTGCCATTTTCTTTGACCAACAATCTCCAACTTGAAGACTGATTTCAATCTGTCTTCAAACCTCGATCAATGCAGCAGTATTTCTCGTCTTTTATTCTAGCATGCCAACTGAAGCTGAACATAACTTCAGTTTGTCCGTAGTCATCGTCTTTGTCAACATGTTTGTCGGATTTTGAGCTCCACTGATCTTTTCAAGTTTCAAAATCCCATCTTCCAGAAGAGATCGGATAAAATGATATCGCAATTGTATGTGCTTCGTCCTGGAATGAAAAGACGGATTCTTTGCTAGATGAATAGCACTTTGACTGTCGCAATACAAGACATTGTTTTCTTGTTTCTCTTGCCTAACTCTTCCAAGAAACTTTGGAGCCAAACCATCTTCTTGATGGTTTCTGTAACAGCGACATATTCTGCTTCAGTTGTGGAGAGAGCAACTATCTTCTGTAGTTGAGAAATCCAACTCACTGTGGTTCCTCCTAGAGTATAGACATACCCTGTAGTGCTCCTTCTAATGTCAACATTTCAGGCTAAGTCTGCATCTACATAGTCTATCAATATCGTATCTCCACCTTTGAAAAAAAGTGCTTTGTTTGTGGTACGCCGCAAATATCTGAATATCAATTTGACTGCTTCCCAGTGTACCTTGCCCGGATTATTCATGTACCTGCTAACAGCTCCCACTGCTTAAGCAATATCTGGTCTGGTACAAACCATGACATACATCAGACTTCCAATTGTTGAGGCATACGGTACCTTCACCATGTGTGCACATTCTTCATCCGTCTTTGGGGACTGTTCTTTGGAGAGTCTGAAATGAACAGCTAAAGGTGTACTTACTAGTTTAGCATCTTGTATGTTGAACCTGGAGAGTACTTCGTTGATGTACTCAGCCTGTGATAATATCAAAGTCCCCGACTTTGTGTCTCTCTTGATCCTCATCCCAAGAATCTGCTTTGCAGCTCCCAGATCCTTCATAGCAAACTGCTTCGATAATTTTTGCTTCAAGTTTATAATCTCTTGCATGTCTGAGCCTGCAACAAGCATGTCATCAACGTACAACAATAAAATAATGAAGCTATTGTCGAACCTCTTGATGTAGCAACAATGATCTGCTTGACTTCTGGTAAAACCACTACTACTCATGAAACTATCAAACTTTTTTGTACCACTGTTTAGGAGCTTGTTTTAAACCATACAAGCTCTTCTTCAACCTGCATATCAGGTTTTTCTTGCCTGCCTCTATGAAGCCTTCTAGCTGCCTCATATAGATTTCTTCCTCCAAATCACAATGAAGGAAAGTTGTCTTTACATCTAACTGCTCAAGATGTAAATTTTCTGCAACTACAATTTTCAACACCAGTCTGATTGTAGACAGTTTTACACGAGTCCATCTCATCTTTCATGGAAGACTCTCACTTGACTGAATCCTCCACTTGCATTGCTTCATCATAGCACTCTGTTTCACCATTGTCAGTCAGCAACAAGTAGTGCAAAGAAGGAGAATACCATTGGGTTGGTTTAGGAATTCTGGAGGAGCGTCTTAGTTCTGGTGTGCCTGGTTCTTCTTGAATTATTTCAGGATTGATCTGAACATCATTTCTATAAATCTCCTCGAACTCAGTAAATTCCTTTGTTTCAGCTTTGATATTGGAGCTACTTGATTCTATGGTTGCCCTCTCTTTGTACATCACATTTTCATTGAAAATGACACTTCTGATGATCTTCCGATTTTCATAGTCCCAAAAACGGTAACCGAACTCATCACCACCATAACCAACAAAGACACATTTATTGGACTTAACATCAAGTTTACTTCTTTCAGCAGAATCTATGTGTACATAAGAAATACAACCAAACACTCTTAAGTGTGAAAGGTTTATTTCTTTCTTGCTCCAAACTTCCTCTGGTATTCTTTCATCCAAAGGAACTGAGGGCCTACGGTTGATCAGGTAAGTTGCAGTGTTGATAGCTTCAGCCCATAGAAATTTGGGCAATCCGACATGTATCCTCATGCTTCTGGCACGTTCATTCAGAGTTCTGTTCATGCGCTCTGCTACGCCATTCTGCTGCGGTGTCATGGGAACTGTTGTCTCCATCTTGATCCCATTGTTTGCGCATAAATCTCTGAATCTCCTATTTTTGTACTCTCCTCCATTGTCAGACCTCAACCGCTTGACTTTCAGACCAGTCTCATTTTCCACCATGGCCTTCTATTTTCTGAAGGTATCAAAGACTTCTGATTTCTTCTTCAGAAAATAAACCCACATCTTTCTTGTTGAATCATCGATGAAGGTGACATAATATAATGAGCCTGCAAAAGATGGAACTGGAGATGGTCCCCATACATCAGTATGAACCAACTCTAACTTTTCAGCCTTGGGTTTCTTACCAATCTTTGCAAAGCTCACTTTCTTTTGTTTGCCAAAGATGCAATCCTCGTATAGTCCGATATCTACATTCTTTAGATTCGACAGCTTCTCTTTTGACAAAAGTGTCTTCATCCCTTTCTCGCTCATATGACTAAGCCTTTGGTGCCATAGGTTTGATTTTCCATCAGCATCTGCTACTGCAATGATATTCTCTAAATTTGAGGTTACGTAGAGAGTACCAGTCTTCTTACCACGAGCAATGACGAGTGCTCCTTTGGTAATCTTCCATTCACAGCCTAAAAAAGTTGTACTATATCCTTCTTCATCAAGCTGTCCTACAGAAATTAAATTTCTTTTGAGGCCAGGAATATGTCTCACTCCCTTCAGCGTCCAGGTGGTCTTGTTTGGCAACTTTAATCGGATGTCTTCTTTTCCGACGATCTTCAAGGTTTCATCATCAGCTAGATGAACCTTCCCAAAATCACCACTAACATAGTTCTCCATGATTTCTTGGCATGGGGTGGAGTGGAAAGATGCCCCTGAATCCAAGATCCATGATTCAATCGGACTGTTGATGCTTAGAATCATGGCATCACCTATCTCCTCTGTCACGTTGGCAGATTCTTGTGTACCAGTATCTTTCTTCAGTGCTCGACAATCTCTTTTAAAGTGATCATTCTTGCCACAATTGTAACAGGTAAATTCTTTCTTTCCTGTTCTTGATTTGCCCCTTATGGATTTCGATCTGCCACAATTTGAATTTCTTTCTGAAGTTCTCCCTCTGGACTCCGTGTGCAAGGCTGAGGAGGTTGATGCTTCACCCGATTCTCTCCGTCGAATTTCTTCGCTCAATACCAGATCCCGAACATCGTCGAATTTTAATTTGTTGTTTCCTGATGAGCTGCTGACTGCTGTAACAGTAGCATTCCAACTGTCTGGTAGAGATGATAAGAGAATTAAAGCTCGAACTCCATCCTCAAATTCAATTTTCACGGAACTCAACTGGCTTGTGATTGTGTTGAGTTCATTTAGGTGTTGAGCCACTGATGCCCCTTCCGCCATCCGCAAATTGAATAATCACCTCATCAAATAAACTTTATTTGATGTCGATGGCTTCTCATACATATTGGAGAGAGCCGCCATAAAACCTGTCGTGGTCTTTTCCTTTGCTATGTTGAAAGCAACATTGAGGGATAACGCCAGTCGGATAACTCTGAGGGCTTGTCTGTCGATAAGAGCTCAGTCTTCATTCTTCATGCCCTCTGGTTGCTTTCCTAAAAGGGGTTGATATATATTTTTCTGGTACAGAAAATCTTCAATTTGCATCTTCCAAAAGCCAAAGTCCGCACCATCGAACTTTTCAATTTTCACCTTCCCTTCGTCTGCATCCATCGCTCCCACTCGAATCTGGCTTCTTTTGATCGTTTTTGACAATTTGTGCGAACCACCATGTATTATAACACCTCCGTCGACAAACTCGTATCGCCGACAAAATTTTTACTATTCACGAAATTTACTATTTACGTAAATAGTAATAAACAGTAACCTCGCAAAAAATTGACAAAAATCACAACCAAAAGCTCTGATACCAGTTGTTGGGAAATAAATCGAGTAACAAATAATTTTCCTATAACCAGATTAGTGAGAATTTAAAATAAAAGCGGAAAAATAATACCCGAAATTGATAACGGAGTTCAGCCAATTGTGCTTACCTCTCCGGACTACTGCGGATCTTTGAAAATAATACCCGAAATTGATAACGGAGTTCAGCCAATTGTGCTTACCTCTCCGGACTACTGCGGATCTTTTACTAAGAGAGAAAATTTACAGGTGTTTACAAAACACTCACTACTCACAAGAAACTCTCTAGTATTGGGAGAAAGAAATGATTTGAGATTTTGGGATGATTTTGAAGCTAAATGAGCTAGGGTATTTATAGTTAAAGGTTAAGGACAAATCTTATAAATACTCTAAAGTTGAATGACTAAATTTTATAATTATCCCTATTACAAAATAATAAAAAATTGGGTAGCCCTCCATTTTTCCAAGCAGCTGCTGCCATTTTCTTTGACCAGCAATAGGTAGGTTTCAAATTCAACTTCTAGTTTAGCTACTGTCCAGGCCTTTAAATGCAAGCTTATTATTATTTGTTATTTTCCTTTTTTTATTGGTTTATTTCTTTAGGTGTTGGGGTTGAGTGTTGTAATGTTTATTTGAACTCGATGGTATTTTTTTTTGGATGAATAAAAAGAATTTGAAATAATTTTTCATATTTCCAAGAGTGACTTTTAGGAAAGCACCAGTCCTACACGAGAAGCACATTTCACTTTAGAGATCTTAATTTTTCCATCGCATGCAACAACACATTTCACTTTCATTTGGACCGACGGTGACATGAAATTAAGCCACGACAATAGTATACATCCAATACATAATCTAATTTTCTAAGTGCATAAATATTTTAGTTTAGGTAGTCGAAACGTGGTATTTTAACAGTATGGTTTGAATTATGGGATCATTTCTTGGGGTGGAAGAAAAACATCGGATGAGCCAAGACGAGTAGAGTTGACATAATCTTGAGTGGAATGAGCTGAAACACCCGGCATCACCAATCCGATTATTCTAAAAACTTTCATAAACCAACCTTCTTTGTACTCAGGTCCTTTCGAATAACATAGAGTAAAGCTTCTTATCAACTCGCTTATGGCGTTTATCATCATCGGTATCACTGATAACGGCGAGAAATAGTTCTTGTTCGGTGTTTCCGGAACAACCTGCAATAACAACAACAATAACCCGATGTTTTACTAATGAAAAATTATTTGAAATGTATCTCGAATTGAATAAATAGGGTTTAATTACCTTCCCTTGATAGTGCCTGTTATAGTAAACACATGTACCAAAGTGCTTGAACAAAAGATCCTTGTCGTCATAAGGCAACCTCGGCACCATGTCATTGCAATAAACAGTTCTGAAATAACGTATTTTATGTTCTTCCAGCTTATTTTCCATGTAATTCCCGAACTTCTCGTCGCCGACTCTCGGTTGCCCGTACGTGTAAACCCCATCCAGTCTCTGCAACAGCAATTTCTCTTCATGGAGAAGCAAAATTGCAGGAAAAAGAATAGCTAATGCTCCACCCAGACTATGGCCAGTCAGTATATATTTTGTGTTTTCACTTTCGGTCAAGAGTGATTTTAACTTGTCTCTCACGAAATAATAAGCCAAGGGTTCTTTCCGGTTCCGGTTTTGTTTGCATTCCATCGGCCACCCTACGTTCTTTTGCAACCCAAGGGCTTTCATGAATCCGCCATGGATTCTCCCCATCCCTTGAAGCTCGTACCACGATAAATCGAAGTCCGAACACCATGCGTCTGCATCGAATGGCTCTGTTCCTCTAAAGGCAACGACAATGGTGTCATGGTTTTCACTTTTGTCACGGCAAAAGAAAAGCTGCGTTGTGGCTTTTTCTTGGTAATCTGCCCGAACCAGATAATAATACATTACTTAATTATACATTTGTCTTGGTTTTCACATGTACCAATGGCTTTTTCTTGGTTTTCACTTTTGTCTTGGTTTTCTCGATTGCGTATATAACGAGCATAAACAAAGTCTTACCATTCCAGTGATCAAAAAATCCCAAGTACTCCATCTACAAAAAAAGATAGCAAAAAGAGTACTTGTTTCAATAAATTTCACTCAATTCTTCCAATAATATGTATACGTACGTATGCATATGTATACCTTCCAATGATCCTTGACAATAGTTTCAATGTAGGCTGGATTCTCATACGATGCTTTGGAGGCCATCATCGATAATGCTGAATAATACCTGCATCCATGTTCGGGTTTTATCTCACCGTCGAGCTTCATTCGCTTGTCCATATTACCTATGAAAGATATGAATGTTGCTGAATCTCTATCTGGCCAGTTTTCCTTTCCTGTATGAAGAAAAAAAACAGCGCAAAATTATACATTACTTATCATTTGGTGTCATGCATAACCCTATGCCTAGTCATATTAGGATGGAATTGCTGGTATGAAAATGTATACTGACATAGATATATTCATTTTTTGAAAAATCGTATTTTCGTGCGAAGATTATTTTCCTATAATTTTATTTATGATATTGGTTTATTCTATAAATGAATTGTCTGTCTAGCTCAGTTGGTAGAGCACAAATCTCTTAACCTTGTAGTCGTGGGATCGAGTCCCACGGTGGGCAATTCATAATTCGGAGGTCTCCCACGGAAGCTGCTCTCAACTTGACGTTGGGGAGCAGCTTATTATCCTACCTCTCCCTTACCCCATTACATATGAGAATAAGAATCAGCTAAAAAGTTTATTCTATAAGTTGATTTAATTGGACGAGACATGAGATTTTCAAATAAGATTAAAATTTTGAATTTTGATGATGTGAATGAAATATAATGGATTGGAAAAATCATTCTTACCTTAAAAATATCCGATCCAAATCCATCTAAAAGAAAACTAATTTAGTTCATAACATGTACATTTTGAAAGTGAATATATAATAGTTAAAGTGTTCATTTTTATAAAAAAAAGAATTAAAATAAACCTTTAAATATAATAAAAAAACTTCTAATAAACTTTTAACACGTGCTATCAGAAATCATAAAGATGTTGAAAATGGTGGAAGCAATATTCCCAAAAGAAGAGGCTGCTAGGTGATTGCGGTGAAGTAGTGGACAAGGTAAGGTGAGCATTAGCGAACCACCGACCTGGACCCATATAGTCAACGTCACAAAATAGTTTATTGAAATAGTGGACCAGCTCACCTTCGTCGCACCACCACCAGCCTGGACCCATCTTCATGATCTAAAGCTAAGTTACAAAGTAGTTTAACCATTCTATAATAATCAATTAAGAAAACAGTTAGAATATATGTATGTTATCAATTAATTGATAGAATTTTTTAAAAATATATTATTTTATAATATTTTAGGCTATTAAAAAAATAATTTTTGTTTGTTTAATATAATCAATTTTAACAATGAAATATAAAAGATAAAAATATTATTCATTCATTTTTTATAGAAAATTATATATTAAATAAAAAATTAAATAGTATTTAAAATAATTTTATAAGGATTATTATTTATAAAAAAATTCTAAACTGTCCAATTTTTATTATGTATTTTATTTAAGGCTTCTAAACTCTTAAATTTTAACTAAAAAATTCTAAATGTAAACTTTAGATCTAAAAGTTCTAAATCTTAAATTAAATAATATTTGAGCTTATTTTTAATTTTTTTCTATTACTACTGTCACTGAGATAATAATGCTTTGTGTAAACACTGTTAAGCAAATCCCCATTTTTCTGGAAAAACATGAATCTTATGAATCTCTGTCACTCAATTAATCAGGTACTTGACAGAATTTTGATGCTTAAGTAACGGAGTCGACTCATTAAACGCCAATTGCAGTGATCTATCCGTATATGCTTTTTAATTTTTTTCTATTACTACTGTCACTGAGATAATAATGCTTTGTGTAAACACTGTTAAGCAAATCCCCATTTTTCTGGAAAAACATGAATCTTATGAATCTCTGTCACTCAATTAATCAGGTACTTTGACAGAATTTAAATGATGCTTAAGTAACGGAGTCGACTCATTAAACGCCAATTGCAGTGATCTATCCGTATATGAACAAATTTAATGAACAGTGATATAATTATCTTAACATAAGCTGATAAATTAACTGCAGCAAAAACAAGAAAAAACGTAAATACCTCGCATGAGATTGAGCATGAGCACGAAAAAGTTTTTTTTAATCGCCAGAAGATTAAGCAACATCTCGATCTTCGATCCCATCCACGCCATTGGCTTCGAATTGAATATCAACATCTTCTGCGCCACGATGGAAATGAAAATCAGCCACCGGTACCGGAAACTCTCGGCTGTCTCCGACGAACTATCCACGAATTTCCGGTCATCCAAATCAGTCGAATACAAGATCCGAAACAGATCGACGAATCTCAATTCTTCGGGTTTCAACAGCATGAAATTGCTGGGGAAACCCTTGTCGCATTCCTTGGTTTCTTCTTGGCCCGCCATTAAAACTGCAGGAGAAGAAATTTCAAGGGATTTTGACTAAGGTTATCTGGTGAAGCAACAGTGAGGGGAACACGATAGATTTCCTTATTCGACTCAGAAAGTGAATATTTATGGTGGACAGTGAGGATTAATTAGTTGCCAAATATCAGGTTGGATAATTGAATAATGTTTCGCGGAAAGGATGACTTGGCGAAGACTTGTGTTTAATTGGTGAACTGGGAAATTGACTTGAATGTGATTAGCATTTAGCCACTTGTCGTACCAATAAACAAAGTAAAAGAAGAATCCTTTGTTCGCGTGCTGTTTTTATCTTTCCTGACTGTAAAAAAAAAAAAAAACTATTTAAACTTTGTAACTTTTTTTTAGGTGAATTACACTTTTAGTATTTGAATTATCATTTTTGGTCCTTTTGAAACTTTCATTTTTCTTCATCATACATAACATTTAGTTTTTATTTTATTTTAGTATCATGTCGTTAAAAAATTAACAGACGGACCGACGCATAGCTCTGGTGGACATATGACTAATTTCACACCCATCGGCCGGTGGACCATAGAGATCGGAATATCAAGAAATTGAAGAGTCCATCATTGATTTGGAGAGATTGAGGCGCTTCTGTGAGAAATGAGCCATTAATGCTATGTTGTGCATGAAGAAGAGATGAGCAACAAGTATTCAGTAAGGAAAATATAACACTTGTATATTGATTGTGTAAAGAACTGTGTAGAATACAAGGTTGATGCTGCTGTTTATATACATCTTCTAATGACTAATGTAAACATATTTCACAACTAACCATGCTAACAACCTAACAACCTTAACTGATATTAACAACATCAAGAAGCTTCTAACTATTCAACTAATAATCCCATGCAGTCTAAGCTCATACACGCTGCAGTACTAACAACATTGTTACTGACTCATCATGTTAACAGTTTCCTTATGAAACGGTGGCCAGAATCGTGTTCAGAGTGCGAAAAGGTGTGGGCTGAAAAGTTTGGACTTTATTGGTTGACGGATGTGACGACTAACGACTATAAATGTCGCGACCGACGAGCTCGTTCGTTAATTTTTTAATGGAGGGTATTAAAATGAAACAAAAATAAATGTTAGGTATAATTTAAAAAAATGAAAGTTTAGTTACTAAAACGACCAAAATTGATAGTTTAGGTATTAAACACATAGTTAAGCCAATTATTCATAGGATTAATGGTTGAAAAATCATATCTAAGAGTTATCTTTACATAAATATTATATTGTATTTACCTTATATAAATTTAAAAAATCATATTAACTGAGAAAAGAAAAATATCAATATTAGATTCAAAACATCAATTATAAAATTTTGACTTAATATAATTTATTAATTATTAAATAAAAATTTGACATTGAACTTTCACAACTTTAGTATTTTTGGTGCTCGAACTTGAAACCTTAAAAAATAATAGTAATTTTTTTACCACTGAGATAACTTAGTATAAAAGAAGTAATAAAAATGGTATGATTCCATACAAGCTGATAATTCGGTATGACCATCTCTTCAAATTTTGGTATAATTTCAGAAGCCTCCATATATATATTTTTTATAAGTTAATGAATTAGTATGGTTCCATATAAGCTTTTATTTGAAAAAAGAAATAACATGAATTTATTAATAAGGTGAACCATCGTTAACATCAAGTAGAAAATTAGTAAAAGATATAATTAGGTTATGTTCATATTTTCAAAAAAAAATTATTCATGAAAGTTTGTTTATAATGTATTAAGTTAAATTCTATTATTATTTTTTTATAATATGATATTTATAAATTAAATTCATATTATTAAAACTTAATTATTTTAATTCATTATAAGTTAATCATATTATCTTCTATTATTTAAATTAAATATAATATTCCAAGTTTTTTAAAATGCATGAATTAAAAATAATAAAATTAGGATATATATATATATATATTACATGAATCAATGAGAAAATTCAACTCAAATGACTGGACTTTTCTGGCCTTTGCTTTTTGATAACCAACCACATAATATTATTAAAATTCAGAACAACACATTATACTCCAAAAATTATTTTATTAAACGAAATTATTATTCGATGAAATGATAAAATTTTAGGATAAAGTATATAAATGGTACTTTTATTATAGGATATTACTTTATTAAGTTCATCGACTATTAAAAGTTACATGATAGTCCTCTTACTATATGGAGTTGTTTTGTTGAGTCACTTGACTATTAAAAGTTACAAAATGATCACTTGACTATTTATAATATTCCAAACTCGTCCTTTTCCGTTAAAAATTTAACGGCGGTCTGAGTTGTACATTAATATGCTGATTGAGATATGATAAAATCTTATATCTAAATCTTAAACAACTATCATATCCCAGTTAGCATGTTAACGACCAACTCATATGACTGTTTTTTAATATAAAAGGACGAGTTTGGAACATAATGAATAGTTAAATGACCATTTTGTAGCTTTTAATAGTCGATGGACTTAACAAAGCTCCCCCTATAGCCAAGGAACCATTTTATAACTTTTAATAATCAAAAGAATTAATAAAAATAATATCTTATAGTCAGGGAACTATTTGTGTACTTTACCCAAAATTTTAACAACTAGCATGGGAATTTGTGTAGTTATCGTTGTAAACTTCATTAATGGCATAGATAATTGATTTTATTCAATTGGGTTTATACCTTCACATTCACTTGTTCATATAAACATTTATTTTTAACAAAAATAAAATAAAATACATATATATATATATATATATATATCTGTCATACAACACTAATAATTCATTTATTTTTCTCGAAATCTTCCAAATGCTAATCTTCATGCGGGGCTCTATTTATGTTGGAAATGATGGAAGAGAAGATGACGGAGGGATCCAAGACGAGTGGAGTTGACATAATTTTGTGCACGATGAGCTGGTATACCGGTATTCAGCAAACCAAGAATTCTCATGCCAAAAAGCTGTAATCCGATCCATACTCTTTGCACATAAGGAAGCTTCTTACCACATCATAGACGGCGTTTATTTGCGTAGCAATCGAACCTCCAATCGATTAATAATTCTTGTATGACTGTTCATCTACTATCTAAATTTGAAATTTATTCATATATATATATAATGTTTGATTCATTAATCGATTAATTCAAATATTCTTTTTATTTCTTACATATGGTTGATATTTGCTGTTGTAGTAAACGCATGTACCAAAGTGCTTGAACACTCCATCAAAAGGAACTCTAGGAACCATATCGTTACAGTAAACGTATCTGAAAAAATGAACCCCATGCTTTCTCAAGTTCTTCGCCATGTAATCCCCGAACTCATTGTCCCCGACTCTGGGTTGATCGAACGTATAAACCCCTTCCATTCTCTCCAGCAACATCTGCTCGTCGTGGTAAAACAAGATCGCCGGGAAAATAGCAGCCAACGCGCCGCCCAGACTGTGTCCCGTCACTATAACTTTGGCTCATGATCAAGGGTTATTTTGCAGGAGGTCTTTCAACGTATTCCTTATGTCGTAGTAAGCCAACGGTGCTCGGCGTGGACCGTGGGTCGAATCGGACACCACTTGTTTCGCCCAACCTGCACCACTTTGCATCCCCAAGGCTTTCGAGAAACCGCTATGGATCTTCCCGAAGTGGGGGAACTCGAACCAAGACAAATCCACGTCCGAGCACCAATCCTCGGTGTTAAACTTTTGTGTCCCTCTGAAGCAGACGACGATGGTGTCGTGGTCAACACCCTTGTCTCGAAACATCACAACTTGTGTTTCAGCACTTTGCAAGAAATCTATCCAAATGATTAAAAAATAACAAAAACCAATCAATAAGTTGAAAACAATTAATCACATAAACTGAAGTTTAATCAAAATATGTTGGTACCATTCCAGTAATTTTTAAATCCCAAGAACTCCATCTACAGACACACAAAACATAGAAACAATTAACGTAAGTGTAACAACTCGGAAAAAAAAACAATTTAAATCGGTGTAATTTTGTGAAATTTGGGGATTAAATTAAAAGTTTTCAAAACTTGTAGGCAATATTAAAAGTGAAGGAAATTCAGGAACCAAGCTCTGAATTACTCCTTTTAGTGTCGGCAGGAAATTTGATATATACGTATGTATGGTTTTCTGTTTTCAAAACAGAAAACAATTGTGAAATTCTTCCTCCCGCACTCTACTTCAAAGCTTGATTCCAACGCCGTCCGACCTCCGACCGTCAAATTGAAACCACCATCGTGTTCATCTTCGACCCGTGAAAAAAACCCAGTAAATCAATTATAGCGAAACGCTGCCAAACGACGTGAATTTCGAGTCAAAGTTTCGACGTTTTTTTAGCACTACCGCCGAGAAAATCTTAAATTCATCTCTGATCGTTGATCGGTTTTCGACACCTCCCGCACCATCGTGTTCCTTGTGCCATTTCGAGTCCGTCGGTGTCAACCTTGGTCTCCGTCGACGGCGGCGCGTGAGGAGGTGGAGTAGTCAAAGATTTGGCCGAGTTGAAATCGAGCTCTCCGCCGTTCAAAAATATGAACCGATCTTTGTAAGTATCTCAAAATCGCTCAAAATAATTTTTGGAAATTTTTCCGTAATTGTTAGACCCCCGGAGGAGGCCTCACGCGCCACACGCGCCTTCGTAGGGAGAATGAGTGGCTGAAAACCGGTTTGACCGGTTCGAACCAGTCTGACCGGTCTTAACCGGTTTGACCGGTCTGACCCGACCCAACCCGACCAACCCGACCCGTCCGTTGACCCGACCCGACCGTTGACCGTTGACCTCCTTTGACCAAAACTTAAAATGGCTTTGACCCACCATTAAACGACCGTTAATCTTTTCCAAGTATACCTATTCTGACAGTTTTCGACGTCCCGAATCCGTTTCCGAAGTCCGTTTCGTCAAATTCGAACCCGAATGCCTCCAAATCGACGGTCAAAGTGGTTGACTTTGACCAAGAATTTAAATTTTCGAAAAGACATACTTTATGTTTTTCGACGTCCTGATTCTGATTCCGCAATCCGTTTGGCCAAATTCAAACCCGAAATCCTCCAAATTGATAGTCAAACCCTAAAAATGCTTATATACTTAAGAATTTAGCTTTGAATAATTAAGTAAGATTTGGGGCTGATAAATTATTATTGTTTGAAGGTACAAGAGACTCTCCGGATCATTCGACAGCTCGACCCATCTCTTCTAGATCAATTAAACCACGTGTGCCAGTATTCACCAGTAAGACCCGTAAATTTTATGATTTTAGAGATTTATTTATGTTACCCATAAGTAATATAGTGTTATTATAAAATAGGTTCGAAAACTGTAGCAGAGCGTGGTGAAACCAACAATCAGTAGATCTACTATTTGAACCTATTATCGAGGTGTGTTCCCTAATTATTATTGAACTATTTTATTGGTTTTAATATGAGGTACACTGAGTTCTTTGATTACTGTTTTATTGATGCACCAATTTAATGTGATGATTTATGGAATTTGTGCCACGGTGCAATTGAACTTTTGGATTGAATTACAATAGTATAGCTCTGATCAAGATAATAAACAGAATGGGCCTAATGTGACTCTTGGGGCCCCAAGATACATTAGGTTGGCTTCCCTTGCTGTGTGCTTAGGGTAAGCTATATGGACTTGGACTTACGGGCTTAAGGATACAAGCTCTAAAGCTTATCCTTAGGTCGGCTTTCTTTTTGCTGTGTGCTTAGAGTATGTTATATGGAAAATAGTTTTGGAAATTACTGATGGTGTACAAGAAAATAGTTTAAACTATGATTTTCAAAAGTTAAACTCTTTTATGAATTTATGAGATTTACTGGACTATGATTTGTTTAATGTATCTATTATGATTTTAAGGTAATATTGGGACACACTGAGCCTAGCTCGCCTTTCGAAAATGTTTTCCCCCTTTCAGATACTGTTGGTTAGATACATCGGTTCGAGCACTTGGAGGATCAACATATCTCTTGAAGTATATCTGATTGTAATGTTTTATCTTGCTAGTTGACTTTATTTTGGTGACATGGAACTTATTTTAAAGTATCATATTTTAGGATGATGACACTTTTGCTATTACTGTTCGGTTTATTGTGATTTTGATTTTGAAGACCTGTTTTAAATTAATTTATTACTTATTGGTATTATATTTACAAGTTGGGTTTTGATGGTATAATTTATTTCATGACATTTATAATGTGATTTTACATTGATTGAATAACAGTTTCAGAAAATGTCTTTAAGAATCATAATGTGATCCACTAGACTTAGTCGAAACGCATATGCCGGGTCTAGGGGGTTACATTTATTGGTATCAGAACTTTTGGTTTTTAACCCTCGGACTGTGTATGAGTCCACATTGAAAATACGGTTTTAGAAATATTTTACAAAACAAGTTACTAAGGCCATGTCACAAGTTATTAAGATTTTAACTGTGTTCGAGACTCCAAGTGCTTGTCTAACCCTAAGTTTTATTTCCTGTAGTAAACTCAAGATCCATAAAAAAAATGAGTGCTAGACGTGGTCGTCGAACTAGCCGTGGACGAGGTCGAGTGGCTAGATTTGCAGACCCGATCGATGAGATACGAGTAGATCCCCCACCTCCGATAGGTGATCCTGCTCCTATGACCCCAACGAATCTGTCTCTCGTCGCTGGTATTGGCATGACTACACCGATCATAGGAGCAACCGATATTGAGTCAGAGTCTACCGAAGTTGCTTTGGATGAGAATTTTGGTAGACAATTTCTGCAGTTGATACAAGGAGCAGTCAGAGCTACTGGTGTTGTATCAGAGGTTCCTATTTTGCAGACTTTGATTGCCAATGGAGTTAGAACTTTTGGGGGACAGATTGGTAGAGCTCCTACTGAAGTTGAGGATTGGCTCCAGGATACAGAGATACGCATGGATCAGTTGGGTTTAGACTCAACTAAGAGATATCAGGGTGATGTGGCGATGTTAGATGGCAATACCTAGACTTGGTGGGAGTCAGTGACCAGTAGTGTTCCTTCCGATCGTTTGACCTGGAATTTCTTTAAGGATCACTTTCGGAGTCGTTTTCTGGGAGAGCGCTACTTAGCTCAGAGACGTCAGCAGTTTCAAGACCTGGTTCAGGGAGACATGACTGTTTCTGAGTATGAGATCGAGTTCTTGAAGTTGCTGAAGTATGGATTCAGTATGGTACCTATTGAGAGAGATCGATGTCGTAAATTTGCCCTTGGACTCAGATACGAGCTGCGTAGGCAAGTTGTAACCCATCAGGATGAGATATTTGATGTGCTGGTGGGCAGAGCCAAAGATGCTGAAGAGGTTGAGGTTTTAGCTTCTGGTAGAGAGCGTGTTGAACATGAACGATCTAAGAAATTTTCAGGCCCGATGGAGTCATCAGCACAGTCCGGAAAAAGGACTTGTACTTCAGTCCCTCAGAGAAGCAATACACGTTTCAGGCCTGCAGCATCCTCACCGTTAGTTGATAGTCGAGGCGGTTCCTCGTCGTATTATCATGGGTTCATCTGTGAGTTTTGTGGTAAACAACACACAGGAAAGTGTCGTAAGAAGATGGGTCTTTGCTATCAGTGTGGATCTAGTGGTCATTTTTGGAGGGATTATCCTCAACTAGCTTCGTTTGAGCAGACCGCTACCCAGACTCCTGTGCGTTCTCAGACTACAGTACATACCCCAATTAGAGATCGTAGTCAAGGAAAGACTCGTGGTTCAGCATCCAGGAATGACAGTAGAGCCCGACCTCAGTAAAATAGAGGGCCAACAGTTTCTGAGGCTAGACAGCCAGTTTTGGTTTATGCCACTAGACATCGGGATGACAGAGATGAGCCTGAGGTTATTGCAGGTACATTTACTATTTATTCTATCCATACTTTGCATTACTGGATAATGGCTCCACTCACTCCTATGTATCGAGCTCGGTATCTCGAAACCTTCAAATTCCAATCGAGAATACTGAAAATACTATTACAGTTACGAGTCCAGTAGGACAAACGGTATTAGTGAATAAAGTATTTCGGCGTTGTCCTCTCGAGGTTCAGGGAGAAATTTTTCTCACTGATCTTATGGAGCTTCCTTTAGAGGAGTTCGATCTAATTCTTGGGATGGATTGGTTGAATAAACACAAGGTAAATCTGGATTGCGAATACAAGCGGGCTACTCTAAAGACTTCAGATGGTCGGACTGTTATGTTAATTGGTGAACAGCGTGGCTATCTCTCAAATATAGTTTCAGCGATGGAAATTGATCGTATGATCCAGAAGGGATATGAGACTTTCATTGCTTGTATTTTGAACACTAAAGGTTCATTGTCCACGATCGAAGAGATCCGTACAGTTAGCGAGTTTCCTGATGTCTTTCCAGAGGAGTTGCCTGGTTTACCTCCTGATAGAGAGGTAGAGTTCGAGATAGAGACTTATCTGGGATCTACACCTATTTCTATGGCACCTTATCGCATGGCTCCAAAAGAACTTAAGGAGTTGAAGGTCCAATTGCAAGAATTATTCGATCGAAGATTTATTCGGCATAGTACTTAACCATGGGGAGCTCCAGTTCTGTTCGTGAAAAAGAAGGATGGGTCGCTAAGATTATGTATTGACTATCAGAAGTTGAACCATATGACGGTCAAGAATAAATATCCACTACCCAGGATTGATGACTTATTTGATCAGTTACGAGGAGCTACTGTATTCTCTAAGATTGATCTTCGTTCGGGGTATTATCAATTGAAAGTTAAAGGATCTGATGTTGCAAAGACGGCCATTCGCACTATATATGGTCATTATGAATTCTTAGTGATGCCTTTTAGTTTGACGAATGCTCCTGCAGCTTTCATGGATTTGATGAATCGGGTGTTCCGACCATATTTGGATCAATTTGTGATGGTCTTTATTGATGATATTCTGATATATTCTCGTACTGAGGCAGAGCATGACGAGCATTTGAAGATTGTTCTGCGGACTTTGAGAAAGCATCGTCTATATGCCAAACTAAGAAAGTGTGAGTTTTGGCTTCAAGAAGTGTCATTTCTGGGGCATATTATTTCTGCGCGAGGTATTCAGGTCGATCCAAGAAAGATCGAGGCTATTATGAATTGGAAACGACCCAAGAATATCTCTGAGATTCGTAGTTTCTTTGGCTTGGCTGGTTATTATCGACGTTTTGTTGAGGGCTTCTCGTTCATTGCTTATCCTTTGACAAAGTTGTTAAGGAAGAATGTGCCGTTTGACTGGGGTGAGGCGTAACAGGAGAGCTTTTAGAAATTAAAGGCGGTATTGACTCAAGCACCAGTGTTGATTCAACCAGAGTCCGGGAAGGATTTTACAGTGTATAGCGATGCGTCACACTAGGACTCGGCTGTGTTCTAATGCAGGAAGGTAAGGTAGTGGCTTATGCATCCCGTCAGCTGCGACCGCATGAGTGTAATTATCCTACTCATGATTTGGAGTTAGCAGCAGTGATTTTTGCCTTGAAGATTTGGAGACACTATCTTTATGGAGAGAAGTGTTACATTTTCAAGGATCATAAGAGTTTAAAGTATCTTCTGACCCAGAAGGAGCTTAATTTGAGACAACGACACTGGCTAGAGCTTCTAAAGGATTATGATTGCGTGATTATTATCACCCTGGTAAAGCTAATATTGTAGCGGATGCTTTGAGTCGAAAGGCAGTAACAGAGTTGAGATCTTTAATGGCCAGGATGAATTTATATGACGATGGCACTCTGTTAGCAGAATTACAAGTTAAGCCGACCTTGGTTGATGAGATCAAAGCTAAACAGCCCCTTGATAGCTCCTTGCTTTCCATCTTTGAGCAAGTAGAGCAAGGGACAAGCTCAGATTACGCTCTTGATCAAGATGAAGTTTTATGCTTCAAAGGTCGGTATTGTGTGCCTGATGATGCTGAGTTGAGGCAGACTATCCTTACGGAGGCTCATAGTAGTTCATATGCTATGCACCCCGGTGGAGATAAGATGTATCGGAATTTGAGAGAGAGGTATCATTGGGTCGGCATGAAGAAGGACATCTCAAATTTTGTGGCGAGGTGTTTGACTTGTCAGCAAGTTAAGACAGAACATCAACATCCATCAGGTTTGTTACAACCTATCAAGATTCCTGAATGGAAATGGGAGCGTATTACTATGGATTTTGTTACTGGTTTACCTATGACTTCGAAAAAGGACTCAATTTGGGTGATTGTTGACAGACTTACAAAGTCAGCTCACTTCATTCCTGTACGGGTAAATTATACGTTGGACAAGTTGGCGAGGTTGTATATTTCAGAGATTGTTAGATTGCATGGTGTTCCGTTATCTATCATTTCAGATCGAGATCCGAGTTTTACTTCGAGATTTTGGAAGGCGCTACATACAGCTTTGGGTATGAGATTGGATTATAGTACCTCATTCCACCCACAAACTGATGGTCAATCTAAGAGAGTAATTCAGATTCTGGAGGATATGTTACGGGGTTGTGTAATTGATTTTCATGGTAGCTGGGAGAACTTTTTGCCTTTGGCTGAATTCTCTTATAATAACAGTTACCAGACCAGCATTCGTATGGCACCTTACGAAGCACTCTATGGGCGTAAATGTCGCACTCCGATCTGTTGGACTGAGTTGCGTGATAGGAAGACGTTGGGACCTGAGTTAGTGCGTGAGACGGAGGACACAGTCAGATTGATCCGTGACCGTCTCAAAGAGGCATTTGATAGGCAGAAGTCTTATGCAGATCAGAGAAGGAAATATATATAATTTGAGGTTGGTGATCAGGTCTTTTTAAAAGTTTCACCCTGGAAGAAAGTATTGAGATTCGGGCGTAAGGATAAATTGAGTCCAAGATTTATTGGACCATTTAGTATCTTGAAGAGGGTAGGACCTGTAGCATATCGGCTTGAGTTACCTTCTGAGCTCAGTCGTATTCATGATGTCTTCCATGTATCAATGTTGAGGCGATACCGTCCAGATCTAGGTCACATCATTCAGGTTGAAGAGGTAGAGCTGAGACCTGATTTATCCTATGAGGAAGAGCCCATTCAGATCTTAGAAAGAGATGAGCGAGTTCTTCTGAATAGGCGTATCCCAATGGTCAAAGTTCAATGGAGTAATCGAGGCCCTTCAGAAGCTACTTGGGAGACATTGGAGTCAATGGAGGCTCAGTTTCCTCAGTTATTCTCATAAGGTAACTTTCGAGGACGAAATTTCTTGTAGAGGGGAAGAATTGTAACAACCCGAAAAAAAACAATTTAAATCGGTGTAATTTGGTGAAATTTGGGGATTAAATTAAAAATTTTCAAAACTTATAGGCAATATTAGAAGTGAAGGAAATTCAGGGACCAAGCTCTGAATTACTCCTTTTAGTGTTGGCAGGAAATTTGATATATACGTATGTATGGTTTTCTGTTTTCAAAACAGAAAACAATTGTGAAATTCCTCCTCCCGCACTCTACTTCAAAGCCTGATTCCAACGCCGTCCGACCTCCGACCGTCAAATTGAAACCACCATCGTGTTCATCTTCAACCCGTGAACAAAACCTTGTAAATCAATTATAGCGAAACGCTGCCAAACGACGTGAATTTCGAGTCAAAGTCTCGACGTTTTTTTAGCACTACCGCCGAGAAAATCTTAAATTCATCTCCGATCGTTGATCGATTTTTGACACCTCCCGCACCATCGTGTTCCTTATGCCGTTTCGAGTCCGCCGGTGTCAACCTTGGTCTCCGTCGACGGCGGCGCGTGAGGAGGCGGAGCAGTCAAAGATTCGGCCGAGTTGAAATCGAGCTCTCCGCCGTTCAAAAATTAGAACCGATCTTTGTAAGTATCTCAAAATCGCTCAAAACTAATTTTTGGAAAATTTTCTGTAATTTTTAGACCCCCGGAGAAGGCCTCACGCGCCACACGCGCCTCCGCAGGGTGAGTGAGTGGCTGAAAACCGGTTTGACCGGTTTTGAACCGATTTTGACTGGTTTGACTGATTTCGACCGGTTCTGACCGGTTTGACCGGTCTGACCCAACCCGACCGACCCGACCCGTTCGTTGACCCGACCGTTGACCGTTGACCTCCTTTGATCAAAACTTAAAATGGCTTTGACCGACCATTAAACGACCGTTAATCTTTTCCGAGTATACCTATTCTGATAGTTTTCGACGTCCCGAATCCGTTTCCGAAGTCCGTTTTGTCAAATTCAAACTCGAAGATCTCCAAATTAACGGTCAAAGTGGTTGACTTTGACTTTGACCAAGAATTTAAATTTTCGAAAAGACATACTTTATGTTTTTCGACGTCCTGATTCCGATTCCGCAATCTGTTTGGCCAAATTTAAACCCGAAATCCTCCAAATTGATAGTCAAACCATGAAAATGCTTATATACTTAAGAATTTAGCTTTGAATAATTAAGTAAGATTTGGGACTGATAAATTATTATTGTTTGAAGGTACAAGAAACTCTCCGGATCGTTCGACAGCTCGACCCATCTCTTCTAGATCAATTAAACCACGTGTGCCAGTATTCACCCGTAAGACCCGTAAATTTTATGATTTTAGAGATTTATTTATGTTACCCATAAGTAATATAGTGTTATTATAAAATAGGTTCGAAAACTGTAGCAGAGCGTGGTGAAACCAGCAATCAGTAGATCTACTATTTGAACCTATTATCGATGTGTGTTCCCTAATTATTACTGAACTGTTTTATTGGTTTTAATATGAGGTACATTGAGTTCTTTGGTTACTGTTTTATTGATGCACCAATTTAATGTGATGATTTATGGAATTTGTGTCACGATGCAATTGAACTTTTGGATTGAATTACAATAGTATAGCTCTGATGAAGCTAATAAACAGAATGGGTCTAATGTGACTCTTGGGGCCCCAAAATACATTAAGTTGGCTTCCCTTGCTGTGTGCTTAGGGTACAAGCTCTAAAGCTTATCCTTAGGTTGGCTTTCTTTTTGCTGTGTGCTTAGAGTAAGCTATATGGAAAATAGTTTTGGAATTTACTGATGGTGTACAAGAAAAGAGTTTAAACTATGATTTTAAAAAGTTAAACTCTTTTATGAATTTATGAGATTTACTGGACTATGATTTGTTTAATGTACCTATTATGATTTTAAGGTAATATTGGGACACACTGAGCCTAGCTCACCTTTCGAAAATGTTTTTCCCTCTTTCAGATACTGTTGGTTAGATACATCGGTTCGAGCACTTGGAGGATCAACATATCTCTTGAAGTATATCTGATTGTAATGTTTTATCTTGCTAGTTGACTTTATTTTCGTGACATAGACCTTATTTTAAAGTATTGTATTTTAGGATGATGAGACTTTTGCTATTACTGTTCGGTTTATTGTGATTTTGATTTTGAAGACCTGTTTTAAATTAATTTATTACTTATTGGTATTATATTTACAAGTTGGGTTTTAGATTGACACTTTTGATGGTATAATTTATTTCATGACATTTATAATGTGATTTTACATTGATTGAATAACGGTTTCAGAAAATGTCTTTAAGAATCATAATGTGATCCACTAGACTTAGTCGAAACGCATAGGCCGGGTCTAGGGGGTTACAGTAAGTTTAATGATATTCAAGTAATCTAATTCGAGAAAACTATGGATATACCTTCCATTGATCTTCAATTAAAGTTTGGCTATAAGCAATATTATTGTAAACTGCTTTACAAGCCATAATCGAAAGTACTGGATAATACATGGGATTTCCATGTTTAATGTTACTGTCTAACTCCATTCTCGTATCTGTAAATACGATAAAAGAGAGATATGTTGTAGCCTTCCTGTCCGGAATCATTACCTTTACCGTTCCACACACAATTAAATATTAATATCAAACTAAATATTACAGTGATATACTGAAATACATACATACATTCCTATATATATAAGATGCAGGATGTAACATCCTCAATATCATGTTAGTGACCAAATTGTAAAGTTTCAGAAATTGGTAATTAAAGTAGAAGAATAAAATAGTTTAATGATTTATTTGGGAATATTTTCAGAAAGTTGTTAGTAATTATTAAAGGAATTAAGGGCAAAGTGGTCATTTAGCATAAAAGATATTTTTTTATCTCTATAAGAAGAGATAAACACGTGGGAGGGGAAGGAGTATCTGGAAAACTCTTCTTCTTCTTGCTTTCTTCTTCTCTAACGTGCTGAGCAAAGGTGAGTTTAATTTCAGCTGTTTAATTATTGGATTTATAAGTTGATTTTGATTCTTTGAGTATTATATAAGCTTAAGGAAAGCTTATATAAGCTTTAAACATCAAGAATATAGAATTAAAAAGGAAATTATATGAAGGGTGTAGAAATGTACTTTTGTTATAGAAAGGTTTTTTGAAGTTCTAAAGCTGGATTTGACTTGTCAAGGGTTTAATTAAGAAGTTAGAAGCAATTGAATGGAATTTGGAACATGTTAGAAATTGAGAATGATTCTTGAATTTCATAAGGAATATATGATTTTGAGGTTAAAGATGATTTACATGGATATAAGTTGGTTTAAGTAATGGTAGTTGAGTTTAATGACATATTAGAGGCTTAAAATAGAAGAATTAAGGGAAGAGTTGATGATTTTCGTGCTAAAATGCAAATTCTGGGCAAGGTGTATCGATGCATATTCAATGTGCATCGATGCACTCTTTAAAGAAGAAACATCGAATGCAATTGGTGCATCGATGCATAAGAAGTGCATCGATGCATCCCCTTAAAATGAAAACATCGAAGGTAATTTGTGTATCGATGCATGGGTAGTGCATCGATGCACATGTTAAAGAATGCATCGATGCACTGTAGAATGCATCGATGCACTTCAAGGGGAAATTTAAATAGACATTTCTTGTAGTCTAAGAAATGATAGATTGGAGTATATCAATTGGATATTGGTATGTATCAATATGTGATTTTGTAGATATCGAACACGAACAAGTTCTGGAACGATCATCAAGTTAAGATTCGATCGAAAGAAATGAAAAATCATAAAAGTGGATTGGAACTTAGTGAGGCTCAGGTGAGTGCATATTAATTCGTTTATGATGCTAAATGGAAACAAGACTTGTGACAAGTCTATTTCCTATGTTGAATGCATGAATATATGATTGTACGTATATGCATGACATAAATTGTATGTATGCATGATTATATGTGTTAACATGCTTTTGAATGTAATGATATGAGAAGTATGTGCTATGTGATGTATATATATGAGCCATATAACAGGATATATGTGAACATGAGAAAACAAAGTATAAGATATAAGCTATGTAATCTTATGAGAATATGAAAAGAAGCTATGTGACTACATGTATATGTGAAAGAAGCTATGAGCTTATATGACGTGATATGAAAGTGTACATGTGAATATGTGACATGATAGATTGCTAATGCCCATGTTATGTGTAAAGAGAGCTAGAGGTATAGTTAGCATGCCAAGTGTCGAGGGTTCTACGTGGTCCTTCGGGACATATATGTATTATTTGGAACATTTACAGGGTCTTATGAGACACATATATGATCCATTGAAATATGTATATGGTTCTTAAGGAGTGGTCCTTCGGGACAAATACAGTACATAGGTCATTCGGGACAAATCTTATAGCCCCTAGTGGGACCCCATACAAGCTGTGGTGACAGCATAGTGCACAACCTCAATAGACTCATATATCTACAGTTCTCACAGATGTACATGGGCTAACAAAGAGATAGTAATAAACATATATATTACATGTAAAGTATATGCTTTTGTGATATGAATTGTATTATATGATTGATATGATGATGTGTATATGTGTACATTTGATTACATGAAATGCTATATTGTTTTGTATGATAGCATGATATGATATGTTCATGCATGATTAAGTAGTTAAAGTTACTTTAATGTATTTAATGCCTCATTAAGTCATAGACTTAGCGTTTGAGTGTTTCACACGTAGGTTCTGGAAAGCAAGAAGAGAAGTTTAGAGGAGCAAGACATGTCAGCATTTTCCTTACAAAGTTTCAGATCAGAAAATAAATGATTTAAAGGTGTTTGGTTAATCTGAACATAGTTGGCATGTACTAATTGATTGAGCTGAATATGCTCTGATTAGTTTTGGTTATTTTGGTCAATTTATGTAAATAAACAGTTTTTATTTTAATGAAAGTTTTAAATTTTCTTTGAATTTTGTCAAGAGTCAAAGTTTGAAAAGTCAATGTGACACCCCAGACTCGTATTTGGGTCGGATACGGGTTAATGGTGTTACATTTAATGGTATCAGAGCTACGGTTTAGCTGATTCTCGGCATAAACTAAAGTCCAAAGTGTCATAAAATGTGTACCTGCTAACACATAGTGAAAATTTCTGATCTGATAGGGTAAGGAGTATGTTATCTTGCCAATAGAACAATATTTGTATAATATAGTAGAATTGATTATAGAAATTGTCGAAGTGAATCGATAGCTGACAAATCTGATGGTGATAGCAATTCACTTGCCCTGGCCAGACAGGATGAAGAGCAGAAACCTCAGAAAGTGTCTTGTAAGATTAAATGTTGATTTCATAAATTGAAATCATATTTGAATAGTGATAAAAGGTTTTCACTGTTTTGAATCGAAAAAGTGATATGGAGAAGTTTTGTTATAAAGTGAATAAGATAGAATATGGTGAGCAAGTGTCACCATAAGGACGTTAGAAGATCTAAAGATATGGTTAGAATTTGTGGAGAATTCGAGAATAAGTGCATCAGTTACAAGCGTATAAGATATATACAGCCAGAGTTGTTGAGTTTGAAAATGGAAATTTCGGGATGTTTGAGAATGGAGGTGAAATTGACAAGTTAAGTAAATGAATTTTGAGATAATTTCGATTAGAAAGGATGTATGTGATTAGTTGACTAGGGTTTGTGCCCTCCATTAGACATATGTTATTGATTAATTATCAGAGTAAAGGTTATAAGACTGGAAGAAAAGGTAAAGTTGAGTTAATCAATTATGATGTGAAATGAATGTAGTTGTGTATTATGATCAGATAGCTATGATGTAGAAAATAAGATAAGTATTTGCATGGAACCTTAAGGAAGGAAGATACAAGTATAAGAAATGATAAAGAATGAAGTTTTATATAAGTAAATGGGTTATCAAAGTTATGAGGATGCCATGAAGATTGGTACATAGAGATGAGTATAGGTGATAAGACAAGAGTATGTGAACATGAAATGAAAGATATGATTTGGGGTATAAAAAAATAAAGGAATAATGGAATAAAGAAATGAAATGGATGAGTTAAAGGATCAGATACGATAAAGGTTATATGGAAGTGTAGATGATAATTTTGGATATAGAATTAAGAAAAGTGTGTAAGGTGATGTGAAAAGATTCTTTAAAGTGTATGTTGAATCGTATTTAAAGAAGATCTAATATTGTGTTCTCGGTCAAATGATGTTGGAAAACGAGTTGGTTATTGTTATAAGACAATTGAAGAGGGATTTATGATGTTGAGTGATGGAAATGAATGTTATTCTTTATATAATGAGTGACATTATATGGATTTTAGAAATGTCGAAGGAAAATGCATAATCAAATGAGATAAAAGACATAAATGGATTGAGGTTATGGGTTATTGTGTATATGATAAGTGACAGTAGATAAATATATAAAGGAAATCGACAATTGAAGAAATAAAAGAAGTAAGATTAAGTAAAGGAATTAGCATGAGAACATTAGAAGAGATGTTCTTATTGATATGTCCAGTGAAAATTCGAGGACAAATTTTCTTTAAATGAGGGTAGATTTGTAACATCCTCAATACCAGGTTAGTGACCAAATTGTAAAGTATCAGAAATTGGTGATTAAAGTAGAAGAATGAAATAGTTCAATTATTTATTTGGGAATATTTCCAGAAAGTTGTTAGTAATTCTTAAAGGAATTAAGGGCAAAGTGGTCATTTTGCATAAAAGAAATTTTTTTATCTCTTTAAGAAGAGATAAACATGTGGGATGGGAAGGAGTATCTGGAAAACTCTTTTTCTTCTTACTTTCTTCTTCTCCAACGTACTGAGCAAAGGTGAGTTTAATTTCAGCTGTTTAATTCTTGGATTTATAAGTTGATTTTGATTCTTTGAGTATTATATAAGCTTAAGGAAAGCTTATATAAGCTTTAAACATCAAGAATAGAGAATTAAAAAGGAAATTATATGAAGGGTGTAGAAATTGAATTTTGTTATAGAAAGGTTTTTGAAGTTCTAAAGCTAGATTTGACTTGTCAATGGTCTAATTAAGAAGTTAGAAGCAATTGAATGGAATTTGGAACATGTTAGAAATTGAGTATGATTCATGAATTTCATAAGGAAGATAGGATTTTTAGGTTAAAGACGATTTACATGGATATAAGTTGGTTTAAGTAATGGTAGTTGAGTTTAATGACATATTAGAGGCTTAAAATAGAAGAATTAAGGGAAGAGTTGATGATTTTCGTGCTAAAATGCAAATTCTGGGCAAGGTGTATCGATGCATATTCAATGTGCATCGATGCACTCTTTAAAGAAGAAACATCGAATGCAATTGGTGCATCGATGCATAAGGAGTGCATCGATACATCCCCTTAAAATGAAAACATCGAAGGTAATTTGTGTATCGATGCATGGGTAGTGCATCACTGCACATGTTAAAGAATGCATCGATGCACTTCAAGGGGAAATTTAAATGGACATTTCTTTTAGTCTAAGAAATGATAGATTGAAGTATATCAATTGTATACTGATATGTATCAATATGTGATTATG